TACGGGTTGTTATTGCCTTGGATTATTGGCTTTGCTGGTCCCACTTTTGTCAGTTATACTGTACCACTTTATTTTATTGGTGTTTACTTGTGTAATGATTCCAAACAACACGTAAAACATAAAAACAAGAACATTTTTAATAGGAATGTACTGAAGCACATTTTCAGCAAGTTGTCCGGTAGCACACTGGGTTAACTAGTGCAGAGCTTCCCAAATTGTGGGGCCCTCCCCCTAGGGGGGGTGCAGAGCCATTGCGGGGGGGCGTGGTATGAAAAGGGGAAAACAAAAACGCTTGGACACTGCTAGCACGAGGCGCCCACTCAAACGCAAAGCAGGAGATGAAGCATCGTTGAATATGTTTCCAAACCAACTTCATTCGAAGCCAAAGACTAGAAAATATGGTGAAGCATATCTTCCCTTTGGTTTCACCTGCACAAGTGCCGAGGTAGGTCTCCCCTGCAGAATTGTGTTTCCCTTCGTGGGGCGCACGCGCTGGGCTCTGCACATCACGGACAAACAGTATCCCACATTCTTGATTTTTAGTTCACACACACTTGTTGTAATGACTAATTACTCCTGTCATTTTGGAGATGTTAGCTCTTTATACAGTAAAGTTACAGCTAGAGCTGGGCGATAGAACGATAACGATATGTATCGTGATATAACTTTTACTCGATAGAGAAATTAAACTATCGCGATAGACTTCGCCGCTCTTGTCCTCTTAAAAAAAAAAAAAAAAAAAAAGGTCAGCCAATCCAAATTAAGTAGCACAGAGCCGAACCAATCACAGCCGCAGCGTCACGTCGCGTGACTTGTTACGTACAGCACAAGTGCCAAGCCGCACGTGTGTTTGTTTGGGAGCAGCCAGCGGGTAATGGAGCCAGCGCGTAATGGAGGAAATGAGTGTGCCGACTAGAAAAATCAACCGAGCGTGACCGAAGAGAAAACAGATGATGGTTCCAACGCCGGAGAGATTGTCGAACGGAAGAGCCATAGAAGTTCCGTAGTGTGAAGGTATTTCGGCTATTTCAAGTCTGACAAAAAACAGTGTAGCGTGCACTGTAAATTGTGCCGAAAGCAAGTCTGGAAATACAATAAACTGGTGCATGCGTCACACTGTGCGCCACGTTATTGTTTCGGTGAAATGAATTTCTACAATACTGTTACTGTTAATTCTACTCTCTGCAGTGTTTAAATGCTTACATATACACAGTTACTGTCCCTCCACACATACGACTCGGTTCTGCTTCTATGCCCCAGCTTTGTTTACTTTTTCCCACCGAGGCTTCTAGACTTCTGATTGGCCAACATTTCTGCACGGTTAGGAATCTAGCGCCACCTGCTGCTTTGGCATGTTCATAGCAGCATTTTCCTTCATTTCTGCCTTTATGTGTGGACGGGATTATTTTTTAAAACGAAAATGGAAAATCTCCGTTTTCAAAAATACCCGTGTACGTGTGTACGTAGCCTCAGTCTCTGACTGGAAGCGCTAATTCGTCATTCGGCTTTTGTCAGACTAAAGTAACTGTTAAAACTGTTTGAAAAGCTCAGCTATACAACAAGGACAGATTGAGAATTTCCTTTTAGTTCTCAGTTTATTTGATATTGACAAAAGTTAGTCAGTTTTGTCTGTTCTTCTGTAAAACAAACTAAGATTTATTTTTAGAATTAATATTTTGTTTCTAAGTGGAATTGACAATTTAGTCTGTTTCGTTTGTTCTATTTTGAAACTTAAACGCTTTAGCGGCTGCCTTTTGTGTAGTTTATAATATTTGCCTTTATTTATCTGAAAAAGTCTCATGTTCCTTAAGTACATCTACCCTGTTGAACTTATTATGGGAAATAAATATTTAAATAAAAACAAGCTGCTGATTATTTCACATTTTACTTGTGAGCAACGGCACATTTAAATCTTACAAATATAGTTATTTGGCTTATATCGTGATAGATATCGTTATCGCCTGAAATGAAAAAAACATATCGTGATATGAAAAAATCTCATATCGCCCAGCTCTAGTTACAGCAGATACAAATAACATCAGGTCGTTCCTGCCACGATTTGTTCCCTTGGTTCAAATCACGGACAAACAGTATCCCACAGTTGTTTATGTTTTTGAACCCATTTTGCACAGAGAGGCATTTTGTGAAAAATGTATTGATAGCAATGTTGAATATTATTACACAGGGAAAAAAACAACTGCAGGTAAAATAATTACACCGTGATGCCTCTGCCTTTCTAAATGGAGGTACAGTAACAGAAACAGCTGTGTTTTCAAAAATACCCGTGTAGGTGTGGACGTAGCGTAAAAGAGTTAGTAGTTTATTTTATTACTACCTGTAATTTATTGCAGGTTACTTGTATTTGCTTAATTGTTTACTAAATGTTTGAGGGGGAAGGCGAACATTTTTCTTGTAAAACAAAGGGGGACCACGCAAAAAAGTTTGGGAACCACTGAACTAGTGCAAGTTTATCATCTAATAATTCTTATTGAATAGTTAGTACAGCTGATAACTGATGTGCATTGACAACATCATCCATGGTAGGATCAATTGCACTCTTAAAAATTTCCCTCAAAAGGGGAAACTCATCAAAGCAATCTTCTAATAAATAAAGTCATACAACCGTAGTTACTACCTTCATACCACATCTGTGAAGCATCTGTTTTTATGTTTATTTTTCAAAATAGAAGTGCTGATCTCCAACGTCTTCATTCTGAATTGTGGACTGGGCTGTGCCACTTCTCTTTCTATTATCCTGGTTGTGAATGAAGTAGAACAAACCACTGTATGAAATCTTCAGGTTTTCTTGGGCAATTTCCTATAGGGAATACCCATCATTTCTTAAAACATGTCTGATTGATTTAAGCAAAAAGCTGCTTTTTTAGGAGAATTTTAAGACTGTAATCAGACTCAAATTGTAGTTTTATCATGAAAAACTTGCATTAAGTTATTTTAACTGCAAGAACTTTGCTGGTAAAGTGGGATCCACGGTGTGTTAGAGACAAATGGGAAAGAGTATTTTTGAACAGGGCAGCTGTAGCAAGACAGGAACTAAATGGAGTGTCTTAGAAAGATGCAAGTCATAACACAGGTGCTTTAATACTAGTTGTAGATATTCACGCTGGAGGCTGTTTTGAGAAAAGTGAATGTTTGACAATTACAAAATAAACAGATGACATATGGGTAGCGTTAACATTGATAATAGGTTATGAAATACCCAAGAACCCTGTGGTGCTATATTTGGCTACACACAAGAGCTGAGGTTGCAACAGAAGAGGCAGACTTGAGCAAAGTGGGAGTAACTGTCTGGACATTACTGATGAAATAAATGATGTGGAAAGACACACAAAAAAGTGGACTCCCTAGAAAAATCCATTGCAATTGCAATTTAAAAACTATTACATGTGTAATAGTAATAATAGTTTTTAATAAAGGTTTCTGTAAAGTGTCCTTCACATATACTTTTTAGTGTTTCTTCTTGAATATTCCGAAAAACTGTGGAATATAGACTTACAGAAGTCTATGAGGTCAGCTGTAGACACACTAAAACATTTGGTTGCATGCCTGGGGTACTGGATCCTCCCAAGTGATCCCACGATGAGCCTAGAAGGCATAAGATGTGTCTTTTTGTGGTCCATAACAATGTATGTCAGCAACTGCTAGTCAATTTTAGTTGAAACCATCTTGTACTTAATATTTGATTCAGGATTGTCTTTTTCATTCTGTTATTTGGCACTATTATTTTTAGTGTGGTTACATTAGCCTCAACTGTAAATGCACTACTAATTAGCAAATGTTAGGTTTCTAATTCAGAAGCCTAAGATGCTAAATGTTTATAAATGTAGTTTGAAGCTTGTGGACATAGCTATAACTGTTGATGCTGTGTCACAAGAACATATTGCTTAATCCGAAGGGCTCTCAAGTCCAAATGAATCAGTTAATTGGAATGTGACCAACTGGTATTTTATTTCACTGGAAACATTATTTCACAATGGTAAAACAAGAGTGTATAAGAGGGATTAGGGATCAGTCATGCCTGTGTTTTCATACCACAACAAGCTGTATTGACTGTCTCCCCCATCCCTAGGACTCAAGTAGATGGCTTTTCTTTGTAAGTTTCTTAGCATGTTATTAGGAAATTTCTTGGGATGCACTGATACATGGGTCAAATATCAGTAATGGCTGATATTAGCCTTATTGACTGATATCAGCGTATAAGATTGTATTTACCGATAACAAAGGCAGATACATATCTGTTGTGTTAAATTTTCAGACTTTGTTGACTTGATACAAAGGATAAAAAAAAAAATCTTTAAAAATAAAGATAACATCGGTTTCAGCTTTGGCTGTTGTTTAAGCACCGTTATCAGCCTGGAATTTAACACTCTGCTTATCTGTAGAAATTCCAGATCTGTAAAAACTTGAAAAATATCAACAAATATAGAATTTATTGCACTGTATGCTAAGTTCTTACTCATTTGCCTTAATAAGCTACCAGTGACTCACCTTTGTTGTATACACATGCATCACTACCAGCAGGAACAAGAAATTGGTTTATGTAATTAGTACATCATGAGATCTTCCTCTCTTCCCCTGGTGCCCTTTAGTCTTCTGGTGCAGCCTCCTGTGCTGCTGTTCCTGTTGGCAGTGACTCACCAGTTTCTTTACACAGACAAAGTCCTCCTGCTGGCCATCCGGGAGGACGGCCTGCAGACTCAGAAAGTGTCAGTTTTTATGAGCCGCCTTGTAGGCAGCGGCAGTCAGATGGGAAAATTTGAGTTGCTGAAGTCAATGAGTAACTGTCTTCCTTCCTGTTAGCAGTGACCTCAAGCAAGCCACTTCACCCCAGCTGCTTATACTTTTCATACTGAGCTGCTCCCAATTTATGCGTGCAGCAGTAAGACTGTGTGTTTGTCACCGAGGTTTTGATTACTGACACGTTTTTCACATGGTTCAAGTATGAGATGCAAGAACTAATCCTAATCCTTGTCCTATTTTAGGATGGGACAAGCACTCATACGGTTACCATGGAGATGACGGACACTCCTTCTGCTCCTCCGGGACCGGCCAACCATACGGGCCGACATTCACCACGGGTGATGTAATTGGCTGCTGCGTCAACCTCATTAACAACACTTGCTTTTACACCAAAAATGGCATCAGTTTAGGTTGGTGTACATGTTAAGATCCTTTTATTTTAAATTAATTGATAGAATGTCATTTAGCATCAACTGGAACCAATGTGTGTGTACGTTCTTAACTCTAACTGGGTTTGTCTTTCTGTCCTTTAGGTGTTGCCTTCACAGACCTCCCCGTAAGTATTCATTATAGCCATGTTTTCCCATCATAACCCTTCAGCACTTTCCTTTTATTAATAAGCCCAATTTTAATAATTTTTGTTTCGTGTAAGTGATATCAACTGTGCAGCTGCCCATCTAATTGCAGTTTATTTTGCCATTTGGGGTCAGAAACCCTTTCTGTGTTTTTGGATCCAGTGGCTGATATGACTGGAATGTTTCAAAAAGGAAAGATTGGTTTAAACTAGACTACAGTCTCCACAGTTCAAAGTAGCTGTACATGCAGAAACCAAACAGGATCTAACCCAAGCAGCCTTCATCTGAGTGCTGATGTTAGTTTCATATCCTGTTAGTGGGTTGTTTTTTTTGTTTTTTGCAAAAACCAACAAACAGCTGTTTGTCCAGTGACTCTTGTCTATTATGGAACCCGAGGTATTCCATAACAAAAGTGCTTTTGATGACATTTGATTTTGGGACAACCCAAAATCAAGTTTATGTATTTTTACCCATGTAGATCGTTTTGGTGTGGGTTACTCAGTTAGCAAGTTTTTAATTTTGTAAAACAAATTTGCACTTTGTGGTCTTTAATGCACAAAAATACATTTGGGGAACTCTGCATTAATATGTCTTTTCAAAAACTGTGACCAAGTTACATCAAAAGTCCACAGACTTTGTTTTGAGCAGTTTCATGTAAGAACTATTTCGATTGTTTACAGCCACTAAAATACAGACGTGTGCAGCTAGTTAGCATTAAAGCTCCGCCTAAGAGAGACACCATCAGTGTTTCTATCCTGTCACAATTTAACTGCCATGAACAGCTCATCACACATCACAGAGTTGGTGGGTATACACCCAATTCCAAAACAGATGGGACGCAGTGTAAAATGCAAATAAATATGAAATGCAGTAAATTGAAAATCATATAAACCCATATTTTATTCACAACACAACACTTAAAACATGTGAAATGTTTAAATTGACAAAATGCACCATTTTGAATTAGATGGTAGCAACACCTCTCAAAAAGTTTGACATGGCCATGTTCCACTGCGTGGCATCCCTTCTTCTTTTAGCAACAGTCTGAAAACTGAGGAGGAATATTGTCCCAATCTTGTCTGATGTAGCATTCAGGGTGCTGGATCTTCTGTGTTGATTTTTTTTTATTCACCAAATGTCACCAAAAAGTTGATTCTGTTCATCTGGACGTAGCGTTTTGTGGGAGAAACGTTTCGTCACTCATCCAAGTGACGTCTTCAGTCTCAGCTGACTGCAGGTTTCCCCAGTCTTATAAACAACCTCCCAGCGCATTGTTCCTTCAGTGGGCTGGTTTCAGTCATTATGCAAATGTACTGTTTATAAGATTGAGGAAACCTGCAGTCAGCTGAGACTGAAGACGTCACTTGGATGAGTGACGAAACGTTTCTCCCACAAAACGCTACGTCCAGATGAACAGAATCAACTTTACTTTCCTGGATAATTGAGAATGCATCAAGACGCAATTCACCAAACGTGTTCAGTTTTTGAACTAAAGACAGGCCACTATAGAGTTTCAACACTGCCCCTTGCGCACAAAGATTTCACCAGATTTCCTCAATTTTTTTGATATATTGTCAGTCTTTGGAATTTTACATTGAGGAATATTATTCTGAAAATGTTCCATAATTTGTTCAAACAGTTTTGATGCTCATTTTATACCCAGTCGTGTTACTGACTTCTTGCCAATTAATCAAATTATTTGGAGCTTTTTATTTTTAGTACTACTAAAAATAAAGTACTACTACCCTTTGTTGTCCCATCCCAACTTTTTTATAACATGTTGCTGCCATCAAATTCAAAATTAGTTAGGTTTTTTTTGTTTTTTTTTTGAAATAATGAAACGTCTGCCTTTAAACATTTTATATGTTTTCTATTTTCTATTGTGAATAAAATATGGGTGTATGAGATTTGCAAATCATTGAATTTTGTTGCACAGCATCCCAAACCTTTTAAATTTGTGGTGGTACTCTGACCCGATTGTTGGAAATCATCACTGTTAGTATGATCACCAACAACTGTATAAGTGTAGATATGCTATAAAATAGGGGAAAATATGATAAATTCCCCTTCAGGCTTTGTTTTTTGAAGCGTTTGATGCAGCGCTGTAATGTATTCATTTTTTTTAAATAATATGTAAATATTATTGTGGCTTAGTGCCAAATCAGTTCTGTTTACTATTTTACGTTTCTACCAGCCCAACCTGTACCCCACTGTGGGGCTTCAGACCCCCGGTGAGATCGTAGACGCCAACTTTGGCCAGCAGCCATTTGTCTTCGACATTGAGGACTACATGAGCGAATGGCGGGCCAAGATCCACGGCATGATCGCTCGCTTTCCCATAGGCGAGCGGCTGGGGGAGTGGCAGGCCGTCCTACAGAAGTAAGATTCAGCTCCAACACCTTCACACACACACACACACACACACACACACACACACACACACACACACACACACACACACCATAATACTTTATCTCAAAGCCATAAAAATGACAGCAGCAATGTTGTGCAGGATGGTGGTAGAAAAAATATTGGAAAAATACCAGTAGCATATCTACAGTGGAGGAGGACCAGTGGATAAAAACATATTGTAATATTTCCTTTCAAGAGAGCTCGTCTCTCTGGAGCCATTAGCACTTTTAATGATATCATGTAATATTTCCCCTCAGCTGAGTTCATATTTAACAGGAAGTACCCAGAAAGATGTTTTCTTCTTGAAAACAAAATAAAATGTTTCTTATTCTGACAATGAATAACGAATCAGCCCACTAAGTTTTGTGTGTGCATATCTTATTTCTTTAACCATAGAGCTCCACTGTTATTCTAAAACTGTTAAATACACACCACGGAGCCACACTGATATCACTGAATATTTCTTTGGCATGTCATCCTACGTACATTCTCCTTCTTCTGCAAAAAAAAATCCCACTAGAGAAACAATCTCTAAAACACTTTTTTCCCCTGTTTTATTGATATTTGTTAAAAGCAATGCTGGCCGGCGGTTTCATTATATTTCTAAACCTGTATGAAACAGTGAAAATACTACATGTGTGTATAAATATTTATCTTGACTCTGGACAGATGTTTTCAAGCTGTATGCCACAGTCACAAAGTTCTAAAGACACCTTAACCATTCTGTCCATATTCACATTGCCTTTCTTGGTGTAAACGTCGTACAGATGAAATATTTCTAATTTGATATTTTCAGAGAAAGATAAATGTGATATAAAAATCTTAAAGTTAGTGAGGAGGAATCAGAAGGAAGATTTTTTTTATTTTGTATTATATACCTTGTTTTTTCCTAGTATGGTTTCCAGCTACTTGGTGCACCATGGGTACTGTGCCACTGCAACAGCCTTTGCCAGAGCTACAGAGACCATGATACAAGAGGACCAGACATCTATAAAGAACAGACAGAGTGAGTGCACACAGCAGTGTGTGCTCAAAGGGAATCATTAGATTTTTCTCTATTATATTAGAGGGTGTGGGGTGTTACTTGTCTCTGTTGATGTATTGGCCTCTTTCAAATGTTTGTTTTGAAAGCTTGAATTCTCCAGATGTTGAGTATATTGTAAAAACCATTCTGCTTTTCATCTAATAGGAATACAGAAGCTAGTGCTGGCAGGGCGGGTTGGTGAGGCCATAGAAGCAACTCAGCAGCTTTATCCCGGTCTGTTAGAACGCAACCCCAATCTACTATTCATGTTGAAGTAAGTCTGCTGTATAGGGTGGGTTCAAAGGCAAGCATGAATTTGCCGCCACAGCTATTATGGACGTAAAATCTGCTTGATATTTAAATGGCTTATTGTCCGGTGAATACCAGTAACACTGATTAAACTGGCCTCTAGGTGTCGCCAGTTTGTGGAGATGGTGAACGGTACAGACAGTGAGGTTCGCTGCTTGACGATTCGCTCCCCAAAGTCCCAGGACAGTTACCCCGGCTCACCGTGCCTCAGCCCCCACCACGGAGCCAGCAACACACACCTGCACACCGGAGGTACATCACACAAACAGGACTGGCTTTCCCTCTACCTTTAAGTTTATTTATAGGTCTTTGTTTCCTCTCCTACTTTACTCACTACCAGGTTCAGACAGCCCCACCTGTAGTAACGGGGTGACTCCCCCGAACAAGTCAAAGAGCCACAGCAGCAGCGGCAGCATCAAATACCCCAGCGCATCCTCCTCTGCCTCTTCCTCCTCCTCCTCCTCCCCTTCATCCATCAACTACTCTGAGTCCAATTCCTCCGATTCCACCAAGAGCCAGCCGCACAGTGCCAACAGCACCCAGGAAACCAGGTGAGAAGCCCTGACAGCTTGTTTTACAGCTGATACGTGTAGACCTGGAGTCTGTACTGTGGTGCAAGTTGAGCATGCCTAGGATATCTTTCCCTCATCTCATTTCACTTACCCTAACTTTTGGAATCCAGCTAAGTGGTTATCAACTCGATAATTCAGGGATACCAAATCTAGCTGCAAGTCTACTTACATGCAAGTCAAAGTCAAACACTTTAAGTGCTTTGACTTGAAAAACATGATATTAATTTAAGCACATTTAAATCCAAGAAAGGAAGGAGGCAAGAATGTGTGTTTATAGCCTCATCAGTATCACGGCTCTGTCATTAGGAAACAGGAAGATTGGACTGTAATTACAGCTGTGTATTCCATTAAATTAACTTGTTGCTGGGGCACCCAACAGCTTGCTTGTTAAGGCTGTCATTACACCTTAAAAAACTTAATGTGCTATTTAAATGAACAGTGGCTTGTAAAGCACTATCAGTCTTATTCTTTCAGCTACAACCCTTTAAACGGTCTGAGAGCAAGTACAGAACAAATATAAAAGCATAATTCAAACCATTAGGTAAGCTTACTTGCAAATGTTATATAAGGTCAACAAGTAAAAGGCTTAGCCGCCCTGTTTGATGACTGCAGCGCTTGCAGGAAAATTAAATCGCTTGCAGCCAGGAGGAGGAAAAATGGCTAAGAATCTATATTTCTTATTAATGTTCATCAGAGAAACACAGACATTAGAAAATCTCTAGAAAGTATAGACTATGTGCATAACATTGTCTGGGGGATCATCTTGGAATGGTGATGTTATTTTCTAGAGATTAACTGGTCAGTATGCACTTGTTTAGAGTTGTTGTTCTTGAATGTAACCTAATCTGAAGCGGGTTAGGTGTGCAGCTGGATTAAAAATGGCAATGATAAGAAGTGAACCAACCCAAACCCAAGGTTAAACCAAAACATTGAGGTGATGCAGGTTGTATTATGTTTGCTGACAGTTGTTCGTTCAGTGATGGCAGGGGATGTTTCCCTTCATTATTTAATTTTAGGCATAAATATAAGAGATAGATAACATAAGCTAATAAAGGTGTTAATGGGTGCAGAATATTTGTTCAGATGCTCCAAATGCGGTGTTTGGCACGGGGAGGGGGGGGGGTGTTAGTAAAGATCGCAGATTCTAAATAGTTCATTATTGTGATACTACCCAGGCCTAAAATGTTCCTTAATATTGTCTTTTACACTCTGTGTGTGTGTGTGTGTGTGTGTGTGTGTGTGTGTGTGTGTGTGTGTGTGTGTGTGTGAGCAGTGACAGTGAGATGGAGATCGAAGCAGAGCACTACACCAACGGCGTTGTTGAGGGCTCCTCGGCGCGGATCATGAACGGAACATACAAACATGAAGAAATCCTTCAGCCAGACGACAACAGCATTGGCAATGGAGTCACAGGTACACGAAGAATACACACGTGCACTCAGTCACACTCCTGAAAATGTCTTGGTCTTTATACTGCTTCTAGCCTTTATATTTCCTCTTGCTTTAGACTTGATCCACCTTTCTTTAGGATGTTTTTACAGTGCGTTTGTGTGTGTTTCTCCACCAGATGAGGTTTGTAGTCACAGCAGACAGCTTTGTGGTGGGAACCAAGCAGCCACAGAGAGGATGATCCAGTTTGGACGGGAGCTGCAGGCGCTCAACGAACAGCTGTGTCAGGAGTACGGCAAGAATACCACACACAAGAAAATGTTACAGGTACACACACATTCCACTGCACATGGGCTCGAGCTCAACAAACAGCTACAATGCCAAAAAACAGATGTGATGCAAGGAGTGGGCTGAGGAGATTTGTTTCTGCTGGCACCTGGTTATAGTATTCTGTGCACGCTGCAGAAATTGGACGGACTTATGATTTATAATGTGCTGTTGTAAAACAGATAAAGTCAAAGTTATTTCTGACAAGCAGTAGTTTCCAATGTACAGGAAGATCCTAAATCAGTCTTTATTTGCAGGGCACTTCATCTTTACAGTTTAAAGTGTTTTACAGGTGACTGACAAGAATTTAAGGAAACACAAATAAAAATGGTGAAAAAGTAAATAAAAAACATTTAATTAAAAAGACCAGAGTAAACCATTTATCTCTGGATTTTTTTGGATATGTGAAACTTCTTCAGGTTTTTTTTTTTTTTTTGAGTTTTAAAACAAACATTTTTCCAGTATCATTTGATCATTTTGTATTGATATTATCATACATACCCCTCTTTTTAAAACTTCAAAAGAGGGTTATGCATGTATTGAAATGATGTGCTGGGACACTGTTTTGGCATTCTCATTTTTGTCCACCAGGGGGCAGAAATGTAGGCCTATATACCATTAAATACCCACTTGCATACTCAGCAGGCAACATTATCATGTCATCACCCTCATTAAAGTAAGAATACTTAGAATAGCATTATTAGTTGTTTGTATTATTTATATTATGATCACTCATTAGGTTATCCACGTTTTAGTGTTTGTGGACTGGTGAATATTGGAAACAAAAAATGAAAAGAGCCTGGTTAGGATAGATTAAGGCGCCTGTTCTCTTTTTGTCTAACTCTAAGTGTTATAGTAGTTTTCTGTCGGTATAATAGGATAAAGACATGACAGGAAAGACTATGAAATGAGTAAACGCAGGACAGTAGCTCTTATGACTTGTCTTCATAATTTATACTGGCCAAACAGTTGTGTCTCGTTAGCTGGTGCCCAGAATGTTAATGAATACTTTGTAGCTTTAGGGCTATTAAGGAAATCCAAAGCTGGAGAGTGTTCTGCACTGCAGGGATTCAGCTGTGTTGTATTCACAAAGGATCTGTGTGTGTGTTTGTGTGTGTGCGTCTCTCGCTGTGTCTCTGTGTAGGATGCATTCAGCCTGCTAGCGTACTCAGATCCCTGGAACTGCCCCGTGGGCCAGCAGTTAGACCCTACGCAGAGAGAGTCACTCTGCTCTGCCCTCAACAGCGCCATACTGGGTAAAGAGCAAAGCACAAACATATTCTGTGGGTTCCGCTCATACATACAAAACTGTGCAAAGAAAAGACAAATATGACTTTCTGTCTTCTTCACCTTAACGATGATAATATCAGAGCTCTGAAGGGGCCAGTGCTGGTATTTAGACCCCTAAGTAAATTGCCCCGACAACATAGTAAACTATTCATTCTCTCTTGAAAATGTACGAATATGCCTCCAAGTTCTAACATTTGACAAGCTTTAAACTGTACACTTTTAAGCTTTCCTACTTTGGAGAAATACAAGAATGTTTTTATATTTAATACATTTTATAAAGTAGGTTTTCTTTTATTCAACAAATAATATGTTTAGCTCCTGCAGAATTACTTTTAATGTTTGATTTACATGATGGAGAAGACTTTTACACAGTACCGTATGTGCTCAAACTTTTTAAGAGAATGCCTTCATTCTGGTTTTGCCTTTGATTAAAAGCCAAAAATGTTTACCTCTAAATCAAGGAAAGCAGCAACAGATGGTATTATAAAGTCTCGTGGCCATCTAATTAATTTGATGTTACAAAGATTGCTTTTTGTCTTTTTCTTTTTTCTTTTTTACAAGAATTAAATCAACACACACAGTGATTTTTGCTAGATGACATTGTTTTGTTGCAGCAGTTCCATATGCAACTCCAACAAGATCAACAGAATAAGGATTTTCAGTTGAATATAAGAATAGAAATCCAAAAAAAATGTCCTTTGTCTTTATAGAATATTGTTATCAAACACCATTCAAAGCCAAGAACAGAGGTTTATGGCTAGAAACCTTTCAATAGACAGATTGCAGTATGGCAAGATTTTCAGGGTTTGCTTGACATCTTGAATACACATAAAGTGGAAGCGAGCACTGTTTTTATTAAAGATAAATGAAAAGGGTTAAAGAAAGTTGTTTTTAAAAATTATAAAAGATATTATGCTAAAACATTAGCATGTTAGCTAAATGAGTAAATGTAAACAAACCAGATTGTGTGGTGGTTCCTATCTTTAACAGAGCTCAGCATTTATACAAGCATTCAGTGAATCAAAAGGACATGTGGTTAAGAAAGTCAGCACTTAATTCCCTTAATGTTCACGTATTAGAACAGTGTGTATCGCTTGTACCAAGGTTATTATGCTCAAAGCTAGGTGTAAAAAAACATTTTAATTAACTAAATTAAAAAATAGAAATTAGACTTTTGAAAAAATAAATAAATAAATAAATAAAACTAACTGAAATGATATTTTGAACCTGGAAAACGAACTAAAATGAAATGAAAATATAGAAGAAATACCCTGAAACACCTTCAGAAAGTTCTGTTTTTATTGTAATACCTGTACAGATTTTCCTTTAAAACTAAAACTAACACTGAAACTAATAGAAACTAAACTAAACAAACAATAAAAACTAACCCACAACAAGAAAATTCACTCTGGAAACAAACTGAAATAAAACCAAAAATAAAAACCAACTTGAAAGGGGTAAACTATAATAACTTTGTTATGTTCACATATTCTGCTTTTTATTTCCTTGCTTTTAGCCATAGGTAGCAAATTTACTAAAAAACAAATAAAAAATCAATCAATCCTGACATTATTAATATTTTCACTGGATTTTCCCCCAAGGCATACAAAGGTTCATATTAATATGAATATTGAGCTGTCATTTTCTGCCACCAGTAAGAAATGTTGCCTTTCACAAACAGCTGTAATATCTGTTAAAAATGAGATGAGATGATCAGTGCAAACCTAAACTATCTCAAGCCAAGCAGAAAGGAGCAAGAATATTTGATTACTTTCTTTGTGATTCTTTGTGTTTTTCTTCATCAGAGTCTCAAAATCTGCCTAAACAGCCTCCGCTGATGCTAGCGCTCGGTCAGGCCACGGAGTGTGTTCAGCTCATGGCCCGAGTCCGGTCTGGTTCCTGCTCCTTCGCCAGAGTAGACAACTTTTTGCACTAGCCCAGGTCCAGGTGTGTAAATTCATATTTAGGAGTAATCATCCTTATGTGAGGTGGACATTGTAAATAAGCTTAGCCTATAAATCCTGTAATTATCTGAGGTCTGAAACGGGGCACTGAATGTGACTCATAGTAAGGTTTGCATGGTGACTGGCATGTTTGTCTTAAAGGTATGGATGGAGGACAACCTTCATCTCCATCTGTTATTGTCTTTAATTACAGCTAATGTGCACACATGCCTCAAATGGGGGGGGGGAAAAAGGATAAAATGCTCTCCCGCTGTATTTCTATCAATCATGCTACATTCATTTCATTACCCCACATCTCTCCCACAGGTTATTGTTAAGTAGCACTGAGAGAAGACATGTCCAGCAGGTAGTTGTCATGGCAACGGAGGAAGGAGCGTTGGTGCATTTGGCTGTCCATCAGACCGAGCCAGCAGCACAGGCAAGAGAGGCAGAGGAGAGAGAGAGAAAAGAAAGGTTCCTTTTTATTTAGTATTATAAAATAAATAAATGTGTGACACTATTTAAAGATAATTATTATTCTGTTCATCTAGCCTTTTTTTTCTTTTGTTTTTTAGTTCTTTTGTGTCAGTTTGTTGTGCTCATCCTGGAACAAAGAAATTGTAAACCTCCTTCTGATTCTTCCCTTCTGTTTTAACGGGTGGATTTCTTCTCCCTGCTGTCAGTATTGATGTTCTTGTTTACCATATCACAGACCACAATACCCAAAAGCTGGTTTCCACAGTCATCGTGACGCCTATAGGCCTTTTTTTTTTCTCAATTAGACACGGCGGATCTTGAAATACAAAAGGGTTCAAACTCGTCATGAAAATTATTCCAGAAAGTCAAAGAAAATCAAAATTCACTGGACAAAGCTTCCAAGTCATACTCTAATATGTCTGTGCGAGCTAGCAATTTTTTACCCAAAGAATAGGAGACTTCCTTAAAACTTTACCCATGTAAAAGAAAAAAAACATAATTGAAGGTCCTCTGTAGCTGCGAACGCTGCCGGGAGAGAGGGTGATGACAAGAGACTACAGTGGAATATTGGAGGTGTTGGAGCCTTGATTTTACCGTAACAACCACAACGTCGACCAATCAGCGATGTGGTTGCAGGTGGCAGAGCTCGGCAAGAGCTGCACCGAAAACATCCGCCTTCAGGACCAAGTCTTACACTATTTTAATGGCCACCTTGATGCAAGTATTGAGGAAGTCAGTATCAAACTCAGCTTAACAAGCGCTGTGTGTGTGTGTGTGTGTGTGTGTGTGTGTGTGTGTGGTGTGTGTGTGTGTGTGTGTGTGTGTGTGTGTGTGTGTGTGTGTGTGTGTGTGTGTGTTCAGGGCACTCCCCCTGAGATTTAATTACTGCTGCCCTTTTTTCCTTCGCCATCCTCCACAGCCTGACCTGCTGTGTGCATGTGCTGTTGCAAACACTGTTTCAGAAAAAAAGGAAAACCATCTTCCGAACACACGTGTAGTTTTTTAGGGAGCACTGTGTGATCTTTCGTTTTGATTTTAAAGATTGTGAAAACCAGTTCTGGTTGTTGGGAAAGTTTCTCTCTTTTTGCCTTACACAGAGCCCTTTAGGTTTGTAAAACAAATTAGTCCCAGAGTTCTTTTCAATATGTACAATAACATGATGGTAAAACAGTCATTTTACCCTTCAGGCTAGCTGCTGGCCACAATGAGATTTACATGCAAGTAAAGACAGTGCTCAGGTCCGCTACTTCCTGTTTTGGTGTCAGGTTATACCTGCCAACAGTCCTGTTTTTACAATATTTCCCTCATACTTAAAGCTGCATAATAAGTTTGCTTTTTTTGTCCGAGTATTCTTAGCTGTCTCTCAATTACTATCTACATGCAGTCCACATACTACACATATTATCAGCCAAAACAGATTCAAGGCGTGTCTTTGCAACAGCTCCCTGCAGAGGCAGGATTCCTGTGTTAGCTGTTGCTCCTTTAATGCTTTACCCGTCAACAAAGACGAGAGCACCACTTTAAAACACGCTTAAAGAATAACAACCAGGATGTGTGTGACAGGTAAATGCAGTCAATATTAGTGCAGTAGTACAAACACTGCAGATTGAAATAGAACATTAGGGTAAGAAGTTTCGTAGGGCAGCAAGCCATGATCCGAGGTAGACGGTGGTAGATGTCATACAGTGCATGACATCAACAAATCTCTGGGTGTTCGAGACCAAAATGCTGGCAGGTATGAGTCAGATCAGTACGAACAGAAGTACAAAATACCGCTTCCAGACACTTCTCACTTGGCTTGATATTCAAAGTAATTAAGAAGATATTACGACTTTAAATTACTCAGTTTTACACGGTCAGTTCACAGTTTTCATGTCAGCTTCGGCACCCTTAGACCTTTTTCCACAGCAGAGACTCTGGGTTATTATGAGATAAACACAGATATAATTTGTAAGAAAACAAATGAAACCACTCAGACAAGGCTCCATTTTTATGTGTAATAGAACTGAGCCATCATTAAAACTTGGTCCAAAAGTAACTTTTCTCATGACAACTTAAAATATCTGCTTGGACGAAAAAGGCCTGTTAGGCTTCACTAATATCATCAAGTAAGTTTTGGTTAGTGCTTTAGCTAGTTTTTTACTAACTAGCTGTACCTCACCACCTACATGTTAGAGAAGCCATCTTTATTTTGTCTGCTAAGGACTTTGTTTGAAACTACGCAGCTAAAACACAAACTAATTCACTAACTGGTGGCTGACAAGGTTGATTCTTTTGAATCAGCCAATCATTTTGCTGCTCCTCAACACACTGTACAGTAACTAGCCTTTGTTTTAGCAAGACCACATGCTACCTGGCTACATTGCTAGCGGGCTCAGCTGCTTTTAAGCTCACATAGCCGAATAGTACAAAACGTTATTTCTAAAATATTTCTTAAATGTTTGCAAAAACAAAAAAGACCAAAAAGCCACTGTGTTCCTTTCTGTAACACACATGAGCTAACGTGTTAGCAGGCCTGGTTGAAGTTCAGTCGTTTATGCTTTAATGGCTCTTTTTTGGCTTCATTTTTATTTTACAGGAGCCACACTTGAGTTAGAATATATTTGGAGGTAACACTGATATTTTTTCCGTTCTTTAGTATTTGGAAAAGCTAAAATGGAAATCTTGAAGGGATTTCACAGGAACTATTAAACATGTGGATTCAAAGCTTTTTGTTTTCATCAACTCAACTTTCTCAGGTTGATACTGTTTCTACACAACAAAAATGGCAGCCAGTCACAATAGAATAAAACATTAATTGAGTAACTAACCCGTTAATTACTTTCACAATGTTAGCTCTGTAAAGTTGGCTCACGCTGCAGCATTATTCACTTCATTTTTCCCGTGTGTCGGAAGCATTAAGTTTAACTACCACCCCAGTCACATGTGTTTCATTATTTGGTTTTAATGATAAACATGTTTTCCTCTGTAAACATATGAAATGATTTCTTTTCTACAAAGTGGACGGATAATGTGTGACTGACGAAACGTTGTCTCTGTCTGCTTTGTCGTGACCTGGCGAGCGGCGTGCTGATCCACCCTGAAGTGTGTATTTCTATTCATAAGAGATTTTCCGTCTAGGTTATGTGGTCATATCTTTTTAGCTGGTGTTTTGTTTTTGTTTTTCTAAACACCTTCTGCTAATGTAGGATTTATTCTAATAACTACACATACAGACACACCCACAGCATCTGCCTCTGCAGCTGTACAGGACTTCTGTTACACACTATTGAAAGAGAAACCTCTGTTACACACCTGTAGGGGGGGAAAAAAAAATCTTGCTGCTGTCCTGTTGTTTTTGGACTTGGGCTGCATCTCAGCGGTGTTACCACACAGCTTTCCCCCATTATCCCCATTATCCAGCCACTGACATGCTCAGTGACCGTTAGAAGGAAAGGAGATGCGAGCAGTTGTAGAAACGAGCCCGAGGCCTCCGAGGCTTCCCGAGAGGCCGGAGAAACTGATTTAGGCGCCGCAGCTGTGCACAGTTGACTTCTATCATGATTTTGGTTTCAGATTTTCACTTTTGAGTTTTAGGAAAAAAATAAAAATGTTTTAAAAATGTGAAATGAGTTACCCTCTACTTAGCATGACTTGTAAAACCTTTAAAACAATATAAAAAAAAAGGAAAAATGATAATTACAAAAAAAACTATGTACTGGAACTATGTTAAAAAAAAGAAATGTTTTCTGTTTAATTTTGACAGAATTATTTTTATTAAAATACATCCATAAGCATATGATCGGTGTCCCGTTTTTATTTGGTGTAATTTCTTTTTTTCTCAGGATTTGAGTTCGTTTGTGAGTGAGAGGCAATGACAGCTGTAAACACTTGTACAAAACATTAATGTTAGTAGAGTATAATCTAAAAATTTAGACACATCTGCTTATTTCACTATTGTTATCTTATAAATAATAAACTCACCAAATACTTCATTAGTTAAACCTATTCAACTGCACTTTATAGCACTTTAATCAACCAACCCAATGGCTTCTTTGTGTCTTCCTACAGCAAAGGTAGGAGAGGGGCTGGTTGTATTAAGAGATTTGATTGGGCAATCCAGTGTCAGCATGAAAATGAACCAATGGACTGCTGTCAGGGGCTCTTCAGACTGGCTCATTGGCCCAAAAGTGCATCGGCCTACGGGGGAAAATCCCCGGTACGCCAGATTATCAGTCCAGGCCTGACCTCAGTGCATTTAGGCATGTAGGCATAGTCATGCCTTGTTAATGGCTGTAAACAATGTATGCTAAAAAGCATCTATGGACTCACAACATGTGGACTGCTAAGCAGATGAGCTACAGAAGCAGAAGAATTTTCATGGTCTCACCCAAACTGAAGCCAGAAGATTGGTAAAAATGTTGTGATGAGTCTCAGGTTTAACATTGAGATGGTGGGGTCATAAAGACAAGTGTGTACCCATCTGTTTTCAGCCTGATGGTGTAATGCTATGGGGGATATTTTCTTGCCATATTTTGAGCTCCTTAATACTAACTGAGCATTTCTAAATGCCAGCCTACCTGCCACTGTGACTGCAGGGTCTTCATTTTGTTTTTCAGTCTGGCCTCTTTGACTTGTGATTAGAGCAACTACCTCTTCTAAGCAGTGTCGGCTTCAGCTACTTCAGGCTCTGAAGCAATGACCATTGCACAGCTCAAAGAGTAAGAGTCTTGTTTATCTCCCGGTGTAGATAATTTGACTTCATCTATTTCATTGCACTGGTAAGGTCAGCTTATTATCTTCCTGATTATGTGAATATATGCTGTGATCTTTACATAGAGCTACATCGCCCTCTCCTGGTTCTGCTCACAGTTGGACACCATAAAGCGCGCACCATGCTTGACTTTCAGTCTCAGTGTTTTACACTAAAACTCACTAAATGCATTTCTTTGGTTTTAGGTTTCCATATTTAATGAAGAGCACTGCAGAGGATGGATTCATTCAAATGGGGTGCAAGTCAGACTACAACACCTCTCATGAAACTCTTCAAACTATGTTACCATGAATTTGTTTAGACTCATCTGGAGTTTGTTTTTTTGATCAAGTCATTTATAGCCTTTCACATTCTTTGGCTCTCATTATAATGACTTGGATTCGTATAACGCCTTTCAGGAAACCAAAGGTGAAGGAGGTTGGACAGGTACTGAGGTGCCCGGGCATTGAGGGATTTATAAGTCAGATGATGATGTTAATGATGTGTGACTTGACCAGGAGCCAATGGAGATTTATGAGGGTGGGGGTGATATGTTGCCAGAGAGTGTGTTAGAAGCCTGGCAGCTGAGTTGTGGACATACTGGAGCCTGTCCAGGGCTTTGCTGGGGATCCCAAACAGGACCCCACTGCAGTAATCCAGCTGTGTGGTAACAAAGGCATGGATGAGGGGCTCTGCTATGGAGTCAGTGAGCAATGACCGAAATTAAGAGATGTTCATTAAGTGCAAAAAAAAAACACTGCTTTAGTGACAGATTTGAGCCTGGGATTAAAGTGTGGAGTCTAGATCGAAACCCAAGTTGCGAAATTCTGGGGATGGTGAGATGGTGCAACAGTCTTTCAAAGTAGGGCCCTGAGGGCCACAGCCAAGAGCTCTGTTTTATTACTGTTGATCTTGAGTAGGTTAGATGACCTATATGTTTTAACTTAATGCAGAAAGTTGACAAGTGATTGGGGAGGAAACTAGGTGGAGGGTTTTGTACTGATATAAAGTTGTGTGTTGTCAGCATAAGAATCATCAATGGATCAGAAGGGTTCCAAGAACAGGGCCTTGAGGCACATTGTGGCTAACTCTCAGTGCTGTGGTGTGTTCTGAAACCAGACTGAAATGGTTCATATGTCCACCTTATGGTTGGACATATGTTGATTGAGTTGGGTGGCTGCTTTCCAAGATTTTGCTAAAGAACAAAGGTTGGAGATCAGTCAGTAATTTTTAAGGTCATCAGGGTCCAGACCTGGCTTCTTGAGGATGGGAGTGACTGAGGCACTTTTAATGTTGGAAGGCACCAATCCTGCTTCCAGGAAAGAGTTGATGTCAACTATAAGGGAGCATAGAGCAGGTAGACTCAGTGGTGTCTGCACTGGGTCCAAAGTACAGGTGGAGGGAATATCATAATACTGCCAAAACGTCTTCTCTGTGTACCATAATATATATAAATGTATGATTAAAGATTAAGTGGTTCCAAATAAGCAGTAAATATTCAAGATATTCCACCATGTCACTGTATTTAAGGAGAATATCTCTGATTGCACGGAGAAATATTTTTTGCTTTGAAATAGCCCCTGTGTTTGGAGAAAAACTTCAGCCTTGACATTATTCAAAGTTATGGCTCAGTAATATCTACTGTACCTCATTTTCCTTTATGTGTAAAAATATGTGAGTTAGACGATGGATTTCATAAACTTCTGGTCATTCCCTATAAAGTGCCGAAGCTCTAGGATAAGATGGTCCAGTGGTTCAAAGAAACTCTTAGAAGGCAATACTGAGTTCCTCTGCCTTCAGCTACCATATGGTTCATGATTGAAGGGATTTCACAGGATCTCATGATTTCTATTTTAAACTTGGAAAACATCATTTTAAGCTAGTAAACATTAAAGACCTTGAATATATGTTCCCTCTGGATGACTACTTGGTTTCCTATCATACAAACCAGCATTTATGGCAAATATGTGGTGGTACAAGCAGTCTGCAGATATTTTTTTTTATAATTGGGTCACATTGTTTTACAGTCTTTGAACAGCAGAGGGCAGGAGAAGGCTGGGAATGCTTTATGCATAATCAGATCAGCACATATTTTACTCAGTTCATGCAGTAGCCCTTTTAAATGAAAACAAAGACAGTTGCAGGTAAGGTGTTTGATTTTATGTTCTCCTGTGGAAGATATTTTTCATAATCACAAGAGGCATACGTTTTAACCCAGACTACCTACAGTATGCGTCATAGCTGGCTTAAAGCACCAAAAACAAAGAAAGAAACAACAACATATAAAAAGGTAAGTGTAGTGCTCATTAATGCTCATCAATATGGTCAAAATAATCATTATATGGAGTAAAAATGTCACTTAGATTCCTGAGGGGTGAAACACACCTGATGTGTTGTTCCAGCGTGACTAAATGTTTTTTTGTAACGAGCCAGTCTGTGTACTCTGAAGCTGGAGAGCCAGTGAAACAGGGTTGGGTCTCAAAATATTCAACTAAGCTTTAAAACCAACCAAACTTTTAACTTTTTTCTATCAGTATTTCATCTCTTCTCACCACATGTTGATTTAGATGATTGTGCATTGAGGCTTTTAAATCTACAAGAATTGAATACAAATAAAAAAAATTTCAGTAGCTGTTAGGTCAAGGCTGGTTAAGGAGTGGGTGCATTTGGTTCTCTCTTGTAAAGAGTAGTGTCCTTGCAGCAGAACAGAATAGAAATATGTAAAGAAGTGTAAATTTTGTTTTGGTACACTTCACCTTTCTAACCCCACTGATCTGTTTCGCTGCAGGTTTTATGTGCAAAAAAAATTGTTTGAAATCTGTATAAAGTGATGCACGAAACAACACGTAATGAATAGTAGAAACAAAGTGAAATGAGTACTGAGTGCCGTGAATGGGATTTTGCCAGCCTTGAAGCTGCCTAAGGGGAAATAAAGAGGTCTAAAAAGTGGATGTTGAGGGGTTAAAAAAGAAGCAGTAAACAATAAATGCCTCATCAGAGCACTCCCACGTGTGCGGCTCTCAGAAGCCCCTAGAAGTACGACTCCTGCTTGAGTGACACAGAAATGCATGTTGGTCATCGGGAGGTCAGAGGTTCAAACACATGCTTGAAAATTTCACTCACGGCGCTGTTAAATACCCTTTCTTGTGCAGATCGAGAGCTGAGCCTGTAATTACGAGCGAGGTGAGAGTGGTTCGGCTGTTTCTGGCTGCGCTGCCGCCCGTGAATTTCCAACATCATATATTAGACCCTGGAGGCCTGCAGGCATCCTCGCAACACCGCAAGACCTCTGGCCTTCAGAATTGAAGACACGTTAGTCACCATGGCAACGTGCTATGGCGTTCTCAAAGGGGGTGTAAATATCACAACACCCACTCCTATTGCCTAGTCACTGTAATGCATATTCATAGTCACATGAAGTGATTAAGGATGTGTTTTATTAGTCCATCCATCCATCCATCCTTTTTGGCTTGACTAAATAGTAATTACTCTGAGGCCAGTCGAAGGATGCAGCCCCCGCCTGCTCTCAGCTAGATTGTAATGGGTTCATAAGCACTGCTGATTGAATTGATTGCCACAGTTGGAGTCTGGCTGAGATGTACAATGGGGTGGAATATGCAGAGCGCGGAACATTAATCAGCTCACACCAAAGGGCTCCAGGCTCTCATTTTATTTCAGGTACAGGTGAAAATGTACACATGGCAGTACAAATCATGTACAAGAAGTGTCGGCACAGAAACATGACTTTTTCTCTGCTCTGCGAGTGCGCAGGAAACACTTTAATGCTGGGAGCAAAGTTTTTACCTCAACATTTTATTTAATCTGCAGTTTTCCCAACGAGGACAACAAAGAGGCGAGTTCAGGAACTGTAAATGTTTACAGTACTTACCTTACAAGAAAACAGGTGGAGATTTGAGGCAGATGACACCTGGAGAGCAAAAAGTATTTTGCTTGAAGTTTTCAAGTAAATATAACTGAAA